CCCTTCCGAGTAGCTGGAATTACAGGCATGCACCACCACGCCTGGCTGATTTTTTGATTTATTGTAGAGATGAGGTCTCGCTGCCCAGGTGGGTCTCGAACCCGCGGCCTCAGGTGGGTCTCGAACCCGCGGCCTCAGGCAATTCACTCACCTCAGCCTCCCAAAGGTGCGGGATTATAGGCTGAGCCACCGAGCCCAGCTTCCCTTTCTTATAGTATTAAAATTGTTCAAGGTCTGCTTATGAGTGAGAACATATGGTACTATGTTCTTTGTTTCTGTGATAAATCACTGAGTATGATCAACTCTAAATCTATCCAAGTTGCTGCAAAGTCAATTTGTTTGCCCTTCTTTATGGCTGTGTAATATTTCATTGTGTATATGTACCACATTTTTTTTAGCCAGTCCAGCTTAGATGGGCAGCATGGTTGATTCCCTAACCCTAACCCTAACCCTAACCTTATATCTGAGTAGTTATCATTTTATAATTTTGTCTGGCTAAGTATGAAGCTTACTGAGAAAGTTTCCTTTATGTTGTTCATTTTTTCTTTTCTAGTTTTCCTTCCTTCTTCTTCCTGACATGTGCATTTTTTTCCACAAACATAAACTATATATTTAAGGTGTAAATCTTGATGCTTTGATTATTTGATATATGTATACATTGTATAATGATTAACAGAAATTAAGTAATATAGTCATCTCACATAGTTGCCAGATATTTTGTTGTGAGTACACTTAAGATCTTCTTGGTTCATTAATCTCAATTCTACAATACAACTTCACCAAGTATATTCAGAGTGCTGCACATTAGATCCCCAGAATTTATTCATCTTGTAAATAAAAGTGAGTACTGTTTGACCATGTCTTTCCATTTTTACCACTGCTCAGCTGTTGGACCCCACCATTCCCTTCTCTATTTTTATGAGCTCTACTTTTTTAGATTACACAAACTACTGACATTATACAGTATTCTTATTTCTCTAACTTACTTTGATTACTATAATGTCTATCTGATTCATCTATCCATATTGTCACAACTGGCAGAATTATTTTCTTCATTATGGTTGAATAATATTCTACTATATATACCTATAGGGCGCAAGTATCTCTTTGACATAGTAATTTCATTTCCTTTGGCTATATACCCGGGAGTGGGATTGAAAGTTTGGATGGTGCTTCTATTTCTAATTTCTTAAGTAGTCTTTATACTATTTTCCATAATGACTGGATTTATTTACATTCCTACTGATGGCATACAAGGGTTTTCTTTTCTCCACACACTTGGAAACATTTATTATCTCTTCATCTTTTGATAAGAGCCATTCTGTGAAGTGTGGTGCTGCCCCATTGTTTTGACTTGTATTTCTCTGATGATTAATGACATCGAACACCCTTTATAAGCCTGTTTGCCACCTTTATGTCATTTTTGGAGAAAGATCTACTCTGGTCCTTTTCACAGTTTTAAGTAAGATTTCCTTTTCTTTCTTGCTTTTTTTTTTGCTATTGAGTTTGCATTTCCTTGACAAGTAGTGACATTGAGCATCTTTTTATGTCCATGTTGTCCATGTGTATGTCTTCTTTTTTTTTTTTTTTTTTTTTTTGAGTTGGAGTCTCACTCTGTCGCCCAGACTGGAGTGCAGTGGCCACCTCGACCTGCTGGGCTCCAGCGATCCTTCCACCTCAGCCTTTTGAGTAGCCGGAATTACAGGCGCACGCTGCACGCCCAGCTAATTTTTTGATTTTATTGTAGAGATGAGGTCTTGCCTGCCCAGGCGGGTCTCGAACCCTTGAACTCAGGCAATTCACTCACCTCAGCCTCCCAACGGCGCAGGATTACAGGCTGAGCCACTGAGCCCGGCTTACATGAGATTTTTAAAGCTCAAAAGAAACATATAACTCAATTTAAGTCAGGTTATTGGATGCCTTCTTTTTTCTTTTTGCTCAGGTTTCCTTTGGCTATTAACGGTCTTTTGTGATTCTGTATAAATTTAGATTTGTATAATTTCTGTAAATAATATCATTAATATTTAGGTAGGTAAATCTTTAGATTAAATCTTTAGATTACTTTGAGTAGTATGGCCATTTTAACAATATTCTTTCAGTCCCTGAGCACAAGAAATCTTTCTGTTTATTCATGTGTATTTACCTTTTTAAACCATATTTTATAGTTTTCAGTGTAGAGTTTTTAAATCTTTTTAGTTAAGTTTATTGCTAGGCATCTTAATATTCTTTAGCATATATATATATATATATGTATAATTTTTTTTTCTTTCAGTATTCCCAACTTTATTTGTTAAGTTGATCTTTTTCCATTGTTTGTTCTTGGAACCCTTGTTGAAGATAAGTTTACTGTATACATGATGGCTTATTTCTGGGATCCAATGTGTTTCATCATCTATTTGTCTGTCTTCATGCCAGTACCACACAGTTTTGATTACTATTGCTGTGTAATACATTTTGAAATCAAAGTATGATGTCTCTGTTTTTTTTCCTCAAGATTGTTTGACTCTTTGTGGTCCTTTAAGAGCCCATAAAAATTTTATAATATTTTAATACTTCTGCAAAATGTTCTGTTGGCATTTTGATAGAAAGCACATTGAATCTGTACATTGCTGTAAGTAGTATTGACATCTTAACAATATGAAGTTATTTAACTTTTGAACAAGAGTGTGTTTGAGAGTTCAATTTCTGCATATTTATTGACATGCAGTTCTATTTCTGTGTTTAACATCTAGTTTTATTCTATTATACTCAGAAATGATACTTTGTGGGATTTCTGCTTAAATTTATAAAAAAAGATTTTTTGTCTTAAGTTTGACTGTCTGGAATACTGTGCAATATGGATTAAGGATATTGTGTATTCTGCTATTTGTGGATGGAAACTTCTGTATATGTCTTGTAAATCCTGTTGGCCTGCGGTGTTGTTCAAATACTGTTTTTTTTTTTGGAGTTGGAGTCTCACTCTGTCATCCAGACTGGAGTGCAGTGGCTGCTCCCAGCCACCACAGCCTCAACCTGCTGAGCTCCGGCGATCCTTCCGCCTCAGCCTTCCAAGTAGCCGAAATTACAGGCATGCGCTACCATGCCTGGCTGATTTTTTGATTTATCATAGAGATGAGGTCTCGCTGCCCAAGCGGGTCTCGAACCTGCGGGCTCAGGCAATCCACTCACCTCAGCCTCCCAAAGGCGCGAGATTACAGGCTAAGTCACCGAGCCTGGCTTACTCTGTTTTCTTATTGATCTTTTTGTCTGTTTTTTTTCTTTGCACTATTGGAAGTGGGGTATGGAAGTTTCCTATTAGTAGCTGGCTACTTCTTTAATTTTGTAAAATGATGCTTTATCTATTTGGGAGCTGTGATGTTATGTGCACACATGCTAACACTTATGGTTTCCTCATCAGTGTACCATTTTATCATTATATAAAGTTCCTTCTTGACTCTTTTGACAGTTTTTGATATAACATATATGTTGTCTAAGATATCAGTACTTTGCATTCAAAAATAATTTCTTTTAAATTCAATTCATGTGTGTCTTTAGCTCTAAATGTGTTTTTTATAGAAAGCAGAGTTTGATCTTGTTTCTTCAATTTATTTAGTCAGATTATGTCTTTTGATAAATTTAGCTTATTTATTTATTTTTATTTTTTGAGTCAGAGTCTCACTCTGTCACCCAGGCTGGAGTGCAGTGGCACGCTGCTCACAGCCACCACAGCCTCAACCTACTGGGCTCAGGCGACTCTTCTGCCTCAGCCTTCCAAGTAGCTGGAACTACAGGCATGCACCACCATGCCTAGCTAAATTTTTGATTTGTTGTGGAGATGAGGTCTCACCTGGTGGCTCAGGCAATCCTCTCACCTTGGCCTCCCAAAGTGCTAGAATTATAGGCGTGAGCCACGGCACCTGACCAATTTAGCTTATTTATATATAAAGTAATTACTGAGAGGGAATGACTTATTATTGCATTTTATTTATTTTTTTGTTTTAGGCTTTGTAGCTATGTTGTTCTTATTTTCTTCTCTTGTTGTCTTCCTTAGTATTTTGTTGATTTTTGTAGTGAATGTGTTTATTTCTTTATTATTGTTTTTGTTCCCATTATATTTTATTAATGTCACAAATTAGATCTTTTTTTTTTTTTTTTTTGAGTTGGAG